ATATTCGCCCTAGACATCCTATCCCTGACCCCACTACCTAAAATTAACCATGAACCCTGATCCCTAATATTAACCACTGACCCCAAGTCAAAGACTCCTATATTTTGTGTCCCAACGCGTCAAACCTGGACGCCGAGGGAACACAGAAATGCCTGGTGCATCAATAACTGAYGCAACGGGGGTACCCGATGCATCAAAATAAGACACAGAGGGAACCTTGGAAAAGCGTCAACATGTGACGAGTCGGGAGTGAGAACGAGAACTGAACTGATGATCTGGTTAAAGTCCGTTCTGACCTGATACATATTTAATGTCAATTAAAGACAGAAAACAAAAAAATAGGCCTAGAAATCCTTGAAGGTATGCATATGACCTGCTGATTTTTATGGCAGGGTTTGAGAAGGGATGCATGGTTTCATGTGTGATCTCAACAGATTCCACTTTTAACTACTAACACACCAAATTAGCTGAGTTATTGCTTGTTTTATGTTTCCATCTAGTGACCATCTTGAGTTGTGTTGACTCCACTAATCAGTTGAAGATGTACATCTGGTAATTATTTTCTGAAAGTTTAATTAAAAGGGGGGTATTGTGCAAAATCAACTTCAAGAGCTTTTTATTATGTTATAAAATCATTACTTCATCAAAAACATACCTGTAGTGTTGCTTTGTAGTATTTGGTGGCACCGTCTATTTACGCAAAGCTCCTCTCTGGAGCTCAGTCTGCAGACAAGCTCCCGCTCCACAGAGCACCCCTCCCCTACAGCTCCACCAGACTATCAAATCACATCTTAAAAATGGTGGATGATTATGATTTCATTGCAAACATAGCTTCACAATGATCTAACTTATGTCTTATATCACTTTGATCTTAAAACTCATGTTGTGATCCATGAGATATGTAGCTAATAGACAAACAGGTTTGATGACTGCAGTAACTATTTCAAATATTTTCAACAAAGATCCCATGCAGGGAGTAGCACTTATGAGTGTGTATTGTTTAACTCTCAGCTACAACAGCTGCACTGAAAAAACAAACGTTTGGGTGTAGTAACATTTATTTAATTATTATTTTAAATTTTACAAAAATAGATCAAAATTTCTAAACTACTAGAATTTACTAAATAAACAATATACATTATATTATATATCA